GGAGTTTTAGAAGAAGTGGCCGGCTGTTTCTCAGCCGCCACTTGTTTCCTGGCAGAACCAGGAGAGCTCGCAACAGTCGTCCTCCGGGCCTTGGGGTCCGGCTGTTGGGAAGATGAAGCTCTTGGAGCACCCGTCTAAAAAAGAAGAAAAAAGTCAGTATATGCATAAGCACAACTCCAAGAAGAGGGTGAAAGGTTCGGAGCTCACCAAGGGTGCCCCCTTCTTAGGGGAGTCGGTTGAAGCTTGTTGCATGATGGAGGCCCGCAACATGGCCGCCGCAGTCTTGGAGGCGGTGATTTTGCTCATGGCGTCAGCTGCAAAAACAAACAACAAAGTTAATAAAAGTCATAACAAGAACTGTATGGAACAACAGAGTATTCGACAGGGCGACTACCTCTTGAGCACCGACTGTTGAGGCCACAGGCGGCCAAAAAGTACTCGTCGTAGAGCCATTTGAAGCTCGGGACGCAGTGCAGGGGTACTTGCTCTCGTACCCCTGAAGTAGAGTCGACCCTCGACTCTACTTTAAAGAGTCCTTTATCAAGGATCTCTTTCCTAGCCTTGGGGGGAACAGGCGGCATGCTACGGCCGCCTGCAAGAAGGGGCGGATTCCTGTTCCACCTATTGAAGCGCTTGTTCAGCTCAATGTCCGAACTCTCAATGATGAGGAAGGTGCTCCGCCACTCCTTCCACTTGTTTGCTTTACCTCTCGTCATGAGGTAGCCCCTGTGGCTTGTCAATTGATACCAGCCGGTACCGCCTGTCTTAGGGGTCCGGCTGAGATAGTTCATATGGGCGAAAGCTTCGAAGCTCGGCTCCACCCGTGCAGTTCGCACCCGGCCACATAGCCGAGTACGTTGACCCAGGAGTTTGGGGCTAACTGTCATAACCCCAACTCATACCCATCCAAGATCCGCTGAACAGCCGGATGTAATGGGAAGCGAAGCCCTGCCTTGATGGCCGCCTCGTAGCAGCCAAAGCAGGCGCTATCATAACTGGAACCAGCCGGCCAGACGACTGTGTCTTCTGGATCCGGCACAAACACTAGAAAGTCGGGGCCCATGGTGTGGTTTGCAATAAAGCTCTCCACTTTCTCTTGCATGGCTGTGATCCGGCCTCGAGGTACCGTGCAGTAATAGGGGGTATTTAGTTCTCGGTAAGAGGCGGATGGCTCCGCCCAATTGCCCCCCTTCTCAAATGCGTGAGAAAGCCTCGCCTCTTGCAGGCGGCTTCTTTTCTCTTCTGTGTCCAGAGAAGCATAGCCAGAAGAGCTAGACTCTGAATCGCCCTCTAACGAGTCCGAAGAGGACGACTCCTCCTCTCTCCCGGAGGGGCCCGCCTCCTCTCTTTGAAAAGGAGCAGATTTGTTAACTGTTAAATGGGAAGGGGTCACTATGACTCCCCCCACAGAATTGCCGGCATCCAGGCCGCCTTGTTTCACTTCCACATCTGGCGCCTGGTCAGATGTTTCACTAATCGGCACCCTGTGGGAGGAGCCGTCTAAATTTGAGATCCTAGTAGTCTTTTTCGTTCTGGCCATCCTGCTCTGCATAGACACAGATACAGTCGGACTTTGTATAAAGGGCAAAGATGGGTCCGGAAAAGGGCAGGCGGCACTCCTAGTCCTAGATTCAGCCGTCCCCGGTGACCGGCTGATCACTAACCTAGGTCGTGTCGTGTGCTTCCGTGGTGCCATTTCAAAAAAATAAAAAGAAAATAAAGAGTAAGAGAACCGACAGTTACCTGAACGAGTGACGGTTGATGAAGTTCTGAAAATCCTTTGCAGTCGGCTTGAAAGAACAGGCGGTAGGCAGAAAAGGTCCAAAATGTCAGAGCAAGTTCAGGGGTCCGAATGTTCTCTCACAAAGTTCTCAAGTGTGAAAATGACTCAAGACAACTCTCCCTTATATAGGCGAAGTGAGAAGGCGAAGGGTCACTTTCAGAATTCAAAATTTGGGCGGGAAAATCTCTCGGCCTTTCGCCGACTGACACCTGTAGCAGGCCGTCACCTGTTACAGTGCGGCACCTGTCACAGGTAACACGTGACCAGTCACGTGCCACCTGTGAGGGGCAAATGATTAGGGGATTTTGCTCCCACCAATCGGAATGCGCCACGTGGGCCAATCAGGTCCTGCCAAGTGTCCCCTAGTTGGAACTGTCAGGGCTTGCCACGTGGCACGCGCTTATTCGTCCACCTTGGACCTATTATGTCATGACATGTGGCATACTCCATGCCTAATGGAGAAACCGGCCACCCAGGCCCAACTTCCAAGGGAAGCCCAATCGGCCCTAGGTTAACCTAAACCTAGGATGGGCACGTTTCCCAAGGTTATAAATACCTCCCTTAATCCTCATTAAGGGGGAGGACGAAAAAAACACATTAATTACACACAGTAATAACCGGCTGATCTCGCTAACAAAGCAGATTATCTACATTAAACACTCTTACCTAGAGAGACCCAATCACTTTAATTTCCGCATTAATTACTCCTTAATCAAGTACTAACTTGACCGTTGGAGGCGGAGCTCCCCCCACCAGGAGTCTCCGTTATTTTGCAGGTACAGGCGTCCGGTTCCAGTCTCGGAATTGTAACTCTCCCGCAGGACATCAGAAAACCCCGAAACACCCTCCCTAGGATCGGGTGACCTAGGGATTAGGTCATGCCGCAAAACGGCGCCTCAAGGTTTGGGCCCTTGAAGGTCGCCATTCCAGAAGCAATGCCTGAGTGACACGTGTCACTAAGCCCAAAAGGCTTTTGGGCATCTCTTAGGGTGACACGTGTCGCCCTCTTAATGGTCCATGCTGGATAACTAAACATCCCAGAACGGAGGAATAGCAGTTGTTTTGGGTGCTTTTGTCCCTCGGGAGAGTTACAACACGAAGACTGATCCGGGGTGAGCTGTACCTGCGAAACAAACGGAGACACCAGTTGGGTGGTGCTCCGCCTCCGACGCACAAGTTAGAAACTTGAAGGGAGAAAAAGGTGCGGAAATTTAGGTAGGGGTCTGCTCGGATTCCAAGCTCAGGATGTCTCTATCAAAGAGTAAATGTGTAATAAATGATCAAACGTGCCCTCAAAAAGAGGGACATCTCCCTATTTATAGGGTCTTTGGGATTTGTGCCCCTGATTAGGTCACTGAACCCTACTCATTGGTGGGCTGCGCCGCTTTGCGGCTTTCTCGGGATTTGGGCCTTGAGGCCGCCTTTTCCCCTTATTTTTTGGATTGACACGTGTCAAGTAGAGATTGGTCCACTTTGGGCCATCCTGAGGCTGACACGTGTCATCCTCTGATTGGACCACGTGGCGGGGTAAAATTACCCTAAACATTTGCCCCTCACAGATGTGACGTGGCACGCCACGTGGCATCTGTGACATGTGTCACGCTCCGATTGGCGATAATTTTACCATTAAGGAGTAACCGTTCACCTTCCGGGTAAATTACGGAAATGCCCCCGTATTTACCCTCTATATATAGCCGTTTACCCTCATAATTTTGGTACGTTTACAAATAAAATTTTCTAGAGAGAACTTTAAGAGAGCAGAAGTCATCCGTTTGAGTCAGGCGCAAGCAAGAAAGCTCGTCCTCCAGAGACCCAGCCGGACCCGCCTAGTTTAAGATATCTCTTCAAAAGGTACCGTCTCTGCCTCTCTCAGCTCTTTTTCTTTTTTCACTGCTTGTACATATTTCTTGCAATAAATGGATGCATCACCAACACACACGACACAGCCTAGGTTAGAGTCCAGCCGGTCACCAGGGACGGCTGAGTCTAGGACTGGGAGTGTCGTCTCGGGGTGTTGGGACCACCTTTTTCCTCTGATTCCGACCAGTTACGTGTCTATGCAGGACACAAGGCTCGGATAAAGCAGACGACCACTGATCCAAATTACAAGAGCGAAGGCTCAGGCGGCCAAACGCCTGAGGGAGAAACGTCCGGTCAGGGTGACCAAACGGCTCTGGAGAGATCCCCTCTGCACGCCCCTTCAACCCCTGCTGACTCTTTCTTGGAAGAGTGCGACCAAGGCGGCGACGAGGCCGCCTCTGCCCCCTTGAATCAAAGTGAGGAGGAGACGGAGAGCGACAGCTCCGCCTCTACCTCTGAGAGTAGTGACGATTTACCCCCGCTTCCGGATAGTGAGGAGGAAGAAAGGAAGAAGTGGAACGAGAAAGATGATCCCTTCAACATCCACGTCTCCTCCAAGGACCGGATCCAAATGGAGGAAAACTTGAAGAACTTTACTAAAATGCACCCGCTTGGAGACGGGTACAGGATCCGGGTGCCGCCTGAGAATGGCACCATCGCATGGGAGGACGATCAGGAGAACGCCAACAGCTATTTCGGTTGTTATGAGGCGGCGTTCAAGGCTGGTCTCTGCTTTCCCCTTCACTAGGCGGTGAAGGCAATTTTGAGAGGCTACGGCCTCGGAGTCTGGCAACTTACCCCAAACTCTTGGACAAACATTCTGGGGTATGTTGCCACTTGCGATTTCCAGGGGCTTAACCCCGGCTGGGAGGCTTTTGCTAGTATGCATTATCTTAGCAGAAGCCTAGACGGCTGGAGGGCGTGGTACATTCTAACCACGCAGCCCCAATATATGATGACCTTGGACAAGGTCTCAAAATTCGACGGCTGGAAGCACAGGTTCTTCCTGATGTCAGCTCCAACCAGACGGGAGAATTATGAATTCCGTCTGTACAATAAGAAGCCCGACTTGTTAGGCCGGAAGTGTGCTCTTCCCTGGGTTCCAGAGGAAGACTTTGACAAGATCCTTTAGGCAGACTTTTTTGGCCTCACATACGCGACCTTGTCAACCGGGGAGACAATAAAGGTCCCCAAGAGCTCCTGGTTCAGGGACGAATGCTTCCTAGCCGCCTGCGGGCTAGAGCACATGTTTTCCAAACGTATGCGCCTGAGTTTATATCCGTCTGTAGTAGCTTTTTACTAGAATTGATTTATGATATTGACCAATTTCCTTCTTTTTGCAGAAGAAGCATTAAACATGCTGCAGACGGAGAAAACCCCCAAGCGATCCTCTGCAGTCATCCGCAAGGCACTTGCGGAAAAGGCTGCGGCCGAGGTCAAAGCTAAGGTAACAAACGCCTGACCCTTTCATAAGTTGATCTTTTGAAATCATTTTTCCCGGATGCTAACCTTAACTTTGGTTATTTTTGCAGGGAGGAGAGGTTGGAAAGTCGTTTGAGAAACAACTCAAACGGGCTAGGGAGGGGACCCCTGCCGTTCTCAACAAAATAAAAAAATTAACCTCTACGTCAACTCAAGGAGCCTCAGCCGGGCATCAGTAGACGCGGATAGTGGGGCGTAACGAGAAGGTAGGCGGCAGCCTGGGCCTCGGCCTCGTAAACCCCGTAACAGCGACCGGGGGGTTCTCCACGCCTGCAAGAGGTTCTCGCTTGGCTGGCTCTGAAGGTAAGAACCCTTTTGAACCCCCGCTTGAGCTGGGGTGGCCTTTGCGGGTGAAATCCCACTCTCAACAGACGTCATCTTCAGACGGCCGGCAACAAATAGGTGCTGCCTTAGTTTCGCACTCATCACGTATTGATTGTGGTGCATATCAATCTCCCCGCTGGCCATACGTCCAGAAGTACGCCAAGGCCATGCTGGAAGCCCTCCGGAAGAGGGATAAAGACAGTATCCCTGGGATAGAGACGTTCAATCTTGAACGCATTCTATCCCTTCTGGCTGAGGTAAGAAACTTGTCAATTCAATTTTATTTTTTCCAAGTGTTTTATCCCGCCTGCGATACTCATACCGCTTGCTTTTCTGCAGGCTATACTGCGGGTGGACGGGCTCAAACGTCCTTATTCCCGCAAACGGGAAGAGGTAAAAAGGGCCAAGAAGTCCGCCGTAGACGCTGATAATATTGCTTTACACTCAACTATCGTAAATGAACTTGAAACTAAAGCAATCATTATGACACAGGCGTCTAGAATCCAGCAACTGGAGTCAGATCTGGAGGCGGCCAAGCAGCGGGCAACTGATGCTGAGACGGCCCGGAAGGAGGCGGAGGAGGCCCAGAAGAAGGCTGCTGAGAGTGCCAAAAAGGCTGATGAGGCGCTCAAGAAGGCCCAGACGGACCTTGGCAATCTTCAAGGTGTTTCTGAAGAGAACACCAATCTGAAGACCAAGGTTCAAAAACTGGAGAAGGAGGCTGCTCAGGCTCAGATAAACTTTGCAGCAACCTTGGAGGCAGAGCAAAACCGTCTAGTTGCTGAGACTGGCGCTAATAATGACGCCCAGATGAAGATCGCCTGGGCTGCCCTGTACCCGGACGCGGATTATGGCGTCTAGGCACTGGCTCACAGGTACGTCGAGGACGTGGTGTACCTGAGAGAGAAGGGTGACCCAGAGCCTGAATCCTTCGACGCCTAGGTTAATGCCAACAATGAGCCCCTCGTACCTCAGCTACCTGGTCCGGGTGAAGCGCAAGAGATACCCTCAGATGATGAGGAGGAGGACTAGGAGGAGCCGCCTGTAGGCCAGAAGTGACTTTTCTGCGGCAGTATGCCAATCTCTGTTTTTGTCTTTTTCTTTTATTCAGCGGCAGTATGCCAAAACTTGTTTTTCCGGCCTGCGTGCCGAGTAAATTTGTATTTACCGGCTAAGGAGCCGGGTCAATTAACAATTTCTTTTTCTCCCGGAAGGGGTCTGTTTAACATTTTAATCCACTACAACCGTTTGGTTGGGTGGTCTTAATGAAATGCACCGACTGAGTCGGTTTTGATCATTTTGCATTTGAATTTTTAATTTTTCATTTTTGCCTAACTTATCAAAAGCATGCGGCGATTTTTCATTTTTGCCTAACTTATCAAAAGCATACGGCGATTTTTCATTTTTGCCTAACTAATCAGTAGTCCGGCTGTCCTTGCCCTTGGACGGCTGTGTGGTTGGTTTCAAGTGGAGTTGGTTGATTGACTTGAAAACGTCTGATGCTGTAAAGAGCATGATATGTTTGCAAGTCAATCAATCACAATAGTGATTGCCCCAAACCAAGTGCACAGCCGTACACCAACAGGCGTTTCAGTTACTACCCAGACGGTGCTTATCCGTCTTGGTAGAGATTTCATAGCCATTGCATGACTCCTTTGCCCCAATTGAGGTAGGAATTGCAATTTTGGAATAAATAACCAAGTGAGATCTTAAGTCGATGACCGATTGATGCCCTAGGGCATTCAGTATTCGGCAACTTGATCATTCTTCACCGGTCATTTTGGTCAGACGGCTATGAGTTGACCAATTTGGTCGTTCAATTTTTGTCGTCTGCATGGGTACGTAGAACCGACAAAGTATGTTCTCTGCGACGATTGCACCCGGAGGGGTGTCGCCGGACGCCTTTGTCCATGTTGGGACAGGCGATTTTATAAAATGAGCAACCATCCGGCCATTTTAGCCTCTGGTCTTGTTTGAGACCGGTTGTATAGCCACTAAACTTTTTTGTGCCTAGTTTTTAGTCAGTATTGAATTTACACTAAGTATCGAACTTAGTTTTTTAAATAAGCGAGTCTGTCTGGGTATTACCCAGACGGACAGGAAAATATTTGATCATACTAAGTATCAAACTTAGTTAGGTAAATGAAGGATCCGTCTGAGTATTACCCAGGCAGATAATCAGGCAGTTGAACAAACAAAGTATCAAACTTAAATAAACAAGGGATCCGAGTATTACCCAGGCGGTCCAACAAATGTAACCTTTACTAAGTGTCAAACTTAGTTAGGTAAAAGAAGAATCCGCCTGGGTATTACCCGGATGGATAATCAAATAATAACTCAATTTTGCAAACAAAGTCTGAATCTTCATTAATTGACTCACTGTTTACAAAAGGTTTACAATCTCAGAAGTAGTACTTTTTTAGATTGTCTACATTCCAAGTTCTAGGCAGACGCCTGCCGTCTAGAGTTTCCAAGCGGTAGGTGCCATCCCTTACTTCTTCATAGATCCGGTAGGGGCCTTCCCAATTTGGGGTTAGCTTCCCCAACTCATTGGCCCTACCGGTTGCCTCCATTTTTCGTAACACTAAGTCGTTAACTTTCAAAGGACGCTTGTGTACTTTTTTTTGTAGGCTCTCGTCATTCTCAGACGTTAAATCTCATGACGCAAGCCGGCATTGCCCCTCCGTTCTGGGAGTGAATCCAATGCCAAGCGCATTGCTTCCCAATTTGCCTCTTCATCATATAGCATGACTCTGAGGGTCGGCTCGTAATGTTCGATGGGCAAGACGGCTTTAGCACCGTAAACCATGAGAAATGGGGTTTCACCGGTTGCCCCTTTTGCTGTTGTCCGGATGGCCCATAAGCCACCGGCTCTTTCTATTTTCTTCTTAATGTCGTCTGAGATGAGTTTATTGAAGGCTTCAACTTGGTCGTTTGCTTGGGGTCGGCCAACAGATGCAAAATAGCTTGAGATCCCCTGATCTCCCAACCAAGTTTTTAGCTGAGGCGTCTCAAACTGAGGACCATTATCAAACACCATAGACGTGATGATGTTTTTCCAGATGAAGGAAATCACGTCTGAGGTTTTGATATTTTCAACCGCCTCAGCTTCTACCCACTTGGTGAAATAATCCACAGCCACCAAGATGTAGCGCTTTCCGCCTGGAGCAGGCGTGTAAGGACCTAGAATGTCCATGCCCCATTTTACAAACGGGATTGGGCTGTGGATGGCCGTCAGATCAGTAGCCGGACGAGGAATGAGTTTGCCAAAAATAATGTCGTCTGGCTCTGACGGCTAGGGACTTGCCGCCTCTGTGAGAGGCGTAGAATCCCGAGTGCAAGTCTTCGAGAACTTCTTTCCCCTTTTTTTGGGTGACACACTTCAACAAAGGCTTCAGAAACCCCGCCTTGAAGAGTTCTCCATTTTTCAACTCGTATCTTGCAGCTCGTTTTTTTAGGACGGCTGCCTCCTGTGGCGAATCAGGAAGTGTGCCGTCTGAAAGATAGGCCCGGATGCCATCCATCCAGGTAGAGCTTCGGTCCAGAATTCCAATGGGGTCCTCATAGATGCTTCTCTTTTGAAGAACTTCCCAGAAGACTGACCGAGGCGTATTATGGAAGGCGGAAGACGCCAGTTTTGACAATGCATCCGCCTGATTGTTTTCCGACCTAGGCACTTGACTCAGCCGGAATTCCTCAAGTGCCTTGGTCTCTTCTTTGACTGCCTGAAGATATTTAATCATAGCCGGATGAGTAGCCTCGTAGCTTCCCTCATACTGGCTAACAACCAATTGAGAATCAGAGTAGGCGTCAATTTTCATGGCCCCTGCCGCCTTACACATGCGAATACCGACTAGCAAGGCTTCATATTCTGCCTCATTATTAGAGGCTTGAAATTTGAAGCGTAGTGCATACTCAAATCTGTCCCCTTCAGAAGATTCGAAGATTACGCCTGCACCACAGCCGTTCTTTGTAGAGCTCTCGTCTACATACACTTTCCAAACCTGATCAAGATTATCCGGAGCCACCGGACGGGTCATTTCAACAATGAAGTCGGCAAACGCCTGACCTTTCACTGCCTTTCTTGGTTCGTAAGTGATTTCAAGACTTTGCATTTCAATAGCCCATTTCAACATTCTCCCGGATGAGTCCAAGGGTAGACATTGGCCGCTTGAGTGGCTGGTCGGTGTAAATCACTACCGGATGTGCCAGAAAGTAGGGCTTCAATTTTTTGAAAGCCATATACAAAGCAAGGCCAAATTTTGCAACCGTGGGATACCGGAGTTCAGCATTTTTAAGAACATGGCTAATGAAGTAAACCGGGAGCTGCACGTCGTCTCCTCAGCAAGGAGAACGGCACTGAGGGCATGATCTGAGACAGCTAAGTACATGTACAACGTCTCCCTAGGTAAAGGACTGACCAACCTAGGTAGAGAATGTAAATGCTCTTTCAACCTTTGGAATGCCGTCTCAGCATCATCCCCCCATTCAAATCTGGTCTTCTTCCTGATTGCTTGGAAGAAGTAGAGGCACTTGTCGCCTGACCGGCTGAGGAACCTCCCCAGGGCGACCAGACAGCCGGTGAGTCTCTGCACTTCCTTGACAGAACGGGGTGACTTCATGTCTATCACCGCCTGTATCTTTTTAGGGTTAGCCTCTATCCCCCTTTGATCAATCAGGAATCCGAGAAACTTCCCAGACTCAACACCAAAGACGCATTTCTTAGGATTTAACATAACCTTATGCCTCCTGAGGGTGGTGAATGTTTCTCGGAGATCAACAAGGTGATCCGTCTGGAGCTTGGATTTGACTATCATATCATCAATTAACGCCTCCACATTCCTCCCAATCTGATTAATGAAGACCGTATTAATCATCCGTTGGAAAGTGGCAGGCGCATTTTTCAAGCCAAACGGCATCACAGTATAACAGAATAACCCCTGATCAGTGACGAAGGCCGTCTTCTCTTGATCTTTCATCCACAGGGGTATCTGATGGAAGTCGGAGTAGGCATCCATGAAGCTCATCAAGGCGTGACCGGCTGTAGAATCGACCAACTGTCGATCTTTGGAAGCGGGTAACTGTCCTTTGAACACACCTTGTTGAGGTCTGTGTAATCAACACACATGCGCCAGGTCCCATTCGGTTTCTTAACAAGGACCACATTGGCCACCCAGTCGGGAAAATTACAAGGCCGGATGAACCTGGCGTCTAGCAGCTTTTTGACTTCGGCAGCTGCCGCCTGACTTCTTTCCTCACCGTGGTTTCTTTTCTTTTGCCGGATGGGCTTCTTTTTAGGATCCGCGGCGAGCTTGTGGACAGCAAGATCTAGGCTGACGCCTGGCATCTCTTCCACTTCAAAGGCAAAAATGTCTTTGAATTCCTTCAGCATAAAGTGCAAGTCTGCACCCAAAGTAGCATGAGCAATCGTCCCAACCTTTACAGTACGTTCTGGACGGCTGTCATCCAGAACGAGATCAATGCTTTCACCAGCCGATTAAGGGCGGAGCTCATCTGACCGTTCACCGGTCAGTGATTGCTATTTTTCTCTTTCTTTACCTCCACCAGCAGAGGTGCCTTTCTTTTCTTTCCGGTTGCTGGTGGGGCAGGTGCTGGATCAGCATCCTTGACATTGTCAAGGTTAATTGGTTCCTGACCGCCTGGGGCCACAGTGTCCCTGACGGCTGAGAGATAGCACTCCCGGGCCGTCTTCTGATCCCCATTCAAGGAACCAACAGAGCTGTCATCCCTCTCATATTTGATGAGCATCAGAGACGGGATGATTACTGCCTTGGCTACATTGAGGGTTGGCCGGCCAAGGATAATGATGTAGGCGGTCAACTCCTCAACGACCAAGAATC